TTAAAGGAAGTTAGCCGTTGACACTGTTGAAAAAATATAATAAATCATCAAAGGTACATATACAGTGTTTGATAAGGACATGATGGAACATCGTAGGCTACCCTGTAGCTTCTCAACGAATAAAGTCCTATGAAAAATCATTGTGTAATAAAATTCCTCCGACGGGATTCGTCGGATAATTACATTATTAGGATATATATTATACAAAACATATTATATTTTAATTATAAAACTATGTCTGGTGGAATGGCTGTTGCAGGGGCAATGTGTGGTGGAATGGCGGTTGCAGGTGCAACGTGTGGTGGACTGGTTGTTGCATGGGCAAGGTGTGGTGGAATGACTGTTGCACAGGCAATGTGTGGTGGAATGACTGTTGCAGGGGCAATGTGTGGTGGAATGGCTGTTGCAGGGGCAATGTGTGGTGGAATGGCTGTAGCAGGGGCAATGTGTTAGAATGGCAATTGCAGGCTCAATATGTGGTGGAATAGCTGTTGCAGTGGCAATGTGTGGGGGAATGGCTGTTGCATGGAAAATGTGTGGTGGAATGGCTGTTGCAGAGGAAACATGTGGTGGAATGGTGAATGGCTGTAATATGTGCAATCTGAATAGGTGTGCAGGGGTAACGTGTGGTGGAATGTGTGTCGGCAGATCATCAAATCAGTGACAATTTAACTACAATTTTTATAAAATTTAAATTTATAAAGATCCAATAGGCTGTAATACACAAACTACAGCAAAGTCTACTACTAACATCACCACGACTACTACCAAAGGCTGTAATACACAAACTACCGGTACAGCAGAAACTACTACCACCACCACGGATTGCATTTCTACCGGTACAGCAGAAACTACTACTACCACCACCACCACCACGGATCGCATTTTAAATAAAACGTCGCCAGTGAATTTCAGTGAAAGTGTATCTAAAACCATGAAAATTGCCGAATCATTGGAGATGAAAGTGGTAAGACTTTACTTAACATGCATGTTGCTTTAGTTTGTTGGCGGCTCTATTATTTTTTCATGAAAAGAAATAATGAATATCAAATTAAAACAGAATAAATAAATATAACTTCAAAAAAGCATGGAAACAACCAAGTACATTAATTAGGGGTGGTAATGTCTTTCATCAATTTTGTTCTATAGCACAAAATATGTTTTTCAATGGTAGTCAAACATTTTACAAATGTGTACATTTAGGTAAATATCTTAAAGGTTGTTTAGGAGTAAATGATGATTAAATTCAGAAGAACCGTTAATAAAATGTATATAGACATCTGTAGATTAAAACATCTCGTTCCTTGGGAACTATTATTAAGCCTATTATTTATTCATTGATCCAACATGTCGACCTATTCTTAAGTCATTGTCAAGATAAATGAAACAGCTAGCAAAAGAGTTTACCAATGAAAGATAAATGTATATTATAAGCAGCTGGTAATGAGAAGGGGATTTAATAGACGTTCTCAAAATATGCGGACTTCATTGAGATGGCTTGTATACAATCAGTATATTAACAAATTAACATAATTCAAAGCAGTATGTGTGGGTTACAATATAGAACAGAAGCACACACACACACACACACACACACACACACACACACATATATATATATATATATATATATAATTATTATTTATATTATATTCATTTAGTATCAATATGTATAAAAACATGCAATTAAAAAAATAATATATAAGTATATATATAAGTAAATATATAATAGGGCCTAGGTCTATTCATTTACATTTGTATATAAAAACTTATAGACATTTTTCTGTTTATGGCAGGTTGACTTGAAGCAGTCAATGCAACAAGTAAGGATATATTAATTATGTTTTCTCTCCACCATCTTTAGAATTATATTATATTAATTTAATTTCCTTGCTAGTCTACCCATGGATGAATGACCTAATTCCTTAATAGTCTACACTTGAAAACTTACATAGTTTGGATAAATAACGAAAGATGACAGTATTATTCACTTAATTCTTTTAAAGTTTTACAATAATTTTTTTATAATAAACGCTTTATGTGTATAAATATAATTTAAATGTAACTCTGTTAAATATATATATATATATATATATATATATATACTATTTATAATAATATCAATCAATAACAATATTAATAATGATAACAATAAAAAAGTCTATATGCATCATACTTCTTATCATTAATATAATGACAATGATATAATACAATAATTATACAGCATTTCCAGAATCAGAATAGGAGCATTATGAGCATCGTGAACGATTTTGAGAATCAGTTGAAAATGATGGCTGTTGAAAATGACGTCACAACAAATGTAGATATTGAAGGCCTAATATGTGAGTTCAGCTTATTATAGATTTTATATTTGTTTTATTATTATTATTATTATTATAATTATTATTATTATTATTATTATTATTATTATTTTTATCATCATCATCATCACTATCATCATTATCGCTATCACTATTACAATAGCAATAATAATAATAATAATAATAATAATAATAATAATAATAATAATAATAATAATAATAAAAGTAAAATTAGTAACAAGTTCAAGAACAATAATAATTAAGAACAAGAACAAGAATGATAATGATGATGATTCGGTTTAGTGGCAGGATTCCAGAATGTGAACTGTAAGGATGACCTGGTATTGAATATGCAGATCAGCGACAAAGACCGTCCACTTTCAATTAATCCAACATTTTTCGACTGCTGTAGAAATAGTAAGCAAATTATTCATGGAGAAAACCATATTTCGTTAATACATTCACTTGCACTTCTTTGACGTAAATCTAATAGTCCCAATGTTAATTTACATTTTAAAGATAATTGTGCTGGAATTTGTAAACAATAGTGTGAAATTTATAATTTGTTTGATAACGATTTAAATATTAAACTGTATATATTATTTACCATTGTAATATTTCATTATTTTTATTTTTAAGGCAATCGTGACGTCATCAATGTAACTCTTAGTGTTATTTTTCTATCCCAAAACCGTTCACCAATTTTTAATATTCAAGGTCAATCGATATAAACAAACATTCACCACATACACCATAGAGCTACAACAGTAATGACTAGGCGATGAAGCGATGTGTATTTGTACTGAACAAGATGGCCGCAGTAGATGCAATTTCAGGCGAATTAACGACAGAGGAAAGGACCACAACGCAAATATAAATAAAATCGGTATTGCGATTGAAATGAACACTCCCATGAAGGCTTTAGTAAAAATTGCTCAGATATAAAGGAACATGTGCTTAAAACATTATCAAACAATGTTATATATACATAGGCCTATACATGTTTACATTTATATGTATGTATATATATATATATATATATATATATATA